TATTTTTGATGTTGTAAATGGGATTATTTTTCAGCTACTTTGTTAGTGTATAGAAATGCAATTGATTTTTGTATGTTGATTTTGTAACTACAGCTTCAGTGAATTTGTTTATTTAGTTCTAACAGGGTTAGGGTTACATTGGAGTTTTTAAGATTTTCTATATGTAAGATCATGTCATCTGCAGAGACACTTTTACTTCCTTTTGTTTTGTATGTCTTTTATTTCTTTTTCTTGCTTAGTTACTCTGGTTAGGACTTGTAGTACTATGCAGAATAGGAGTGGTGAGAGTGGAGGCCCTTGTCTTTTTATTTTAGAGGAAAACCTTTCAACTATTCATTATTGATTGTGGTATTAGCTGTGGGCTTGTCATATGTGTTCTTCATTGTGTTGAAGCATATTCTGTCTATATCTGATTTGTTGAGTTTTTATTATGAAAGGATGTTGAATTTTGTCCAGTGTTTTTTCTATATTTGTTGAGGCTAATCATATTTTTATCTTTTTTAAAAAGATTTATTTATTGTAGAGAGAGAGAGAGAGTGAGCAACTAGGGGGAGGGGCAGAGAGAATCCTCAGGCCAACTCCCTGCTGAGTACGGAGCCTGGCACATGGCTTGATCCCAGGACCTTGAGACCATGAGCTGAGCCAAAATCAAGAGTTATCTACCTAACCGACTGAGCCACCCAGACAACTTGTAATTTTATCTTTCATTCTATTAATGTGGCATATTAATGTGGTATATCACAGTGACTGGTATGTTGAATTATCATTGCATCCCAGGGATAAATCCTACTTGATTATGGTATATGATTCTTTTAGTGTGCTATTGAATTTGGTTTGCAATTATTTTGTTGAATTTTTGTATCTACTCATCAGGGTTATTGGCCTATAGTTTTCTTGTAGTTTGCATATCTGGCTTTGGTAACTGGATAATATAGGCTTCATGAAATAGTTTTGGGAGTGTTTTCTCCTCTTTAGTTTTTTGGGAAGAGTTTGAGAATGATTTGCATTAATTCTTTAAATGCTTCCTGGAGGGATCCCTGGGTGGCTCAGTGATTTGGCGCCCACCTTTGGTCCAGGGCTCGATCCTGGAGTACTGGGATTGAGTCCCGTGTCGGGCTCCCTGCATGGAGCCTGCTTCTTCCTCTGCCTGTGTCTCTGCCTCTCTCTCTCTCTCTCTCTCTCTCTCTCTCTGTCTCTGTCTCTGTCTCTGTCTCTATGAATAAATAAATAAAACCGTCCCGAAGCAGGACTCGATCCAGGGTCTCCAGGATCATGCCCTGGGCTGCAGGCGGCACTAAACTGCTGTGCCACCGGGGCTGCCCAATAAATAAAAATCTTAAAAAAAAAAATGCTTCCTGGAATTTACCAGTGAAACCATCTGGTTTGGGGCTTTTATTTTGGAGGAGGTTTTCAGTTACCAATTCAGTCTCCTTACTAGTTACTGGTATGTTCAGATTTTCTACTTTTTTATGATTCAGTCGTGGAAATGGTAAAAAAAAAAAACTGATGCACATTAAAATTTTAAGTAGTTTATTTGAGCAAACTGACTCAAATCACAGAGTGCCAACCCAGATGATATTTTAGGAGTACTCCACCCACAAGACTAGCAGCAAGGTTTTTGTAGATAAGATGTAGAAGAAAAGTAAATAAATTACTTGATTGGCTATCTTTTTTTTTTAAGATTTTATTTATTTATTCATGAGAGACAGAGAGAGAGGCAGAGACACAAGCAGAGGGAGAAGCAGGCTCCATGCTGGGAGCCTGATGCAGGACTTGATTCTGGGACTCCAGGATCACGCCTTGGTCCTAAGGCGAGTGCTAAACCACTGAGCCACCCAGGGAATCCCTAATTGGCTGTCTTTTAAATGGTTGCCTTATTTGAGATCGTTCTTGTATTTTGATTTTTTTTTTTCAGATTCCAGTGCTTTGACTCCCTGCTTAAAGTTTGGTTTGCCTAGAGAGGCTCCCCAGATTGTAATTTCCATACCAAAGCATTAGAGCCTTGTTTAATTACTTTAGCAGTAGGTTGTTACCTTTCTAGGAATTTACTCATTTCTTTTAGGTAGTCCAGGTTGTCAAGGTATAATTCATAGTAGTCTCATGATACTTTGTATATCTTTGGTATCATTTGTAATGTTTCCTTTTCATTTATAATTTTTTTTATTTGAAGGGTGCCTGGGTGGCTCAGTGGTTGAGCATCTGCATTTGGCTCAGGTCATGATCCTGGAATCCTGGGATTGAGTCCTGCATCAGGCTCCCCATGGGGAGCCTGCTTTTCCTTCTATGTCTCTGCCTCTCTCTGTGTGATTACTTATTTATTAATAAGTATTTTGGTCTTTGTCCACAGTTCTCAGCTCACAACTCCCAAAACTTGGAATTTCCTAAATGATAAGAACAATGGAAACTTCCTTTGTTGGGTGCCTGGGTGGCTGAGTCTGTTAAGGTTCTGCCTTCAGCTCAGGTCATGATCCCAGGATCTTGGGATCAAGCCCCACATTGGGCTTTTTGCTCAGTGGGGAGCATGCTTTTCCCTCTCCCTCTGCTGTTCCCCCTACTGTGTTCTCACTCTCTGTCAAGTAAATAAATAAAATCTTAAAAAAAGAGAGAGAGAGAGATTTCTTTTGTTATAGTATTTGATCTTTTGTCCTCAGTTTAGAGCCATAAACATAAAATGGCATCTTGTTACTCATAACAAACCCCTTTCAACCACACCTGAATTTGTGTTAATAAAGTGACTTTCGGAAAGCCTCTAGTGAGCCTCTAAGGATGTAGGCTGGTTGCCAAGGAAACCAACCATGACTAGAGGGTTGGAACTTTCAGTCCCATTCCTCTACTCCCCTAACCCCACCTATGGGGAGGAGGGTCGAGGGGCTGGAAGTTGAATCACTCACGGATGGCCAGTAATTTAAGCAGTCATACCTATGTAATGAAGCCTCCATAAAACTCAAAATGATGAGGTTCAGAAATCTTCCATGTTGATGGCATCAAATACAAGGAGGGTGGCACACCCCATTTTTTATGGGGAGGGTAGCTCCTGTGCTCAGAACCCTTTTGGACCCCATCCTATGTACCTTTTCATCTGACTGTTCATCTGTATCCTTATAATAAATTGGCAAATGCAAGCTAATGTTTCTCTGGGTTCTGTGAGCCTATTGAGCAAATAAATTGAACCTGAGGAGGGGATCATGCAAACTACCAATTTATAGCTAGTTGGTCTAAAGCACAGGTAATAGCCTAGGTTTGCAGTTGGCATCTCAAGTGGGGATTCTTGTGGGACTAATCCCTCAACCTGTAGGATATGATATGGTCTCCTGGTAGTGTCAGAATTGAGTTAAATTTGTAGGATACCCAGTTAGTGTCAGTTTAGGATTGGGGATTTGCTTGATGGTGTTGGAAAACACATGCCGGAATACCATTGTGATCAAGGAAGATACTTAGTAATGTGTATCTTACTGAATTTATTGAGGTTTGTTTTGTGCCCCTAATGTTCTGTCCTAGAGAATTTTTTTTTCTTTCTTTCCTTCTTTCCTTCTTCCTTCCTTCCTCATTTATTTTGAGAGAGCACATGTATATGAGCACACATGCATGCATGGGGAAGGGGATGAGAGAGGGGGAGAATTTTAAGCAGACTCTGGTGCTAAGGGCAGAGCCCAGTGGGGTAAGGGTAGGGGGCTCAATCTCAGGACCCTGAGATCATGATCTGAGCTGAAATCAAGTCTGATGCTTAAGTGACTGAGCCACCCTGGTGCCACTTAAACCATATTTGTCTTTTTAAAAGATTTTTATTTATTTATTCATGAGAGACACAGAGAGGCAGAGACACAGAGGGAGAAGCAGGCTCCCCATGGGGACTCGATCCCAGGACCACGACCTGAGCCAAAGGCAGATGCTCAACCACTGAGCCACCCAGGTGTCCTCATGTTTGTCTTAATACAAACTGCCTTCATTCTTCTAGGCTGGCTATCTGGAGTAATAATAGAACTACTTGATTCTGAAGGACAATTCTTCAGATATTCGATAGCAACTAATGTTCTTCCATTCAAGACTTTGAATATTCCTCTTATTGTTACCATTTTCCCTAAGACTTAGTTTGGAACCTCTCAATATCCTAGAATCCAAATTCTAAATGGTATTTAGTCAGTTTTCTTTCTCAACTGTGACATTAAAGTTCTTGACAACCATTTAATATATACAGTAGGGTAGTTTTCTCGCTTGATCTAGTCTTTATGCTTCCCATTAATGTATCCTAAGATTATAGTTTTTCTTTTAAAATTTGTTATATAACAAGTCACATAAATGACTCATAATAAACTGAAACTAAGTTTTTGTGAAACTAGGTTTCCTGCTTTGTATTTATGTAAATGGTAATTGCTTAATCTAAATGAAAGATTTTTTTTAAATGAAAGATTTTTTAACTTATCCCTTAGGAGTTTCTTCCTGATACTACTGTACTTTAGAAATCATTGAATCCTGATTCTGTTAACAAAGATACTATTTATCCTAGTGAGTTTTGTGGTCTCCACCAGTTTAGTAAATATTCTTAATGATTTTATCCACAATGTCTAAAATTAGTATGAAAATTTTTATCAAACATGGGGTTTGAGAGTACGTGTATTTCCTTTACTCTTCAAATAGCACTAAAATTACCATAAAGGAATACAAAGAGGCATTAGACCCCAGTGACAAAAATGAGTGGAAGAATTAGAAACCACCATAGATACAAAATTTCAACTATTTTTTAGAAAAAAACAAAAAACACACAGAAGAGTGTTAAGTGATTCAGCCAAATGGAGGAAGTACACCCTGCATTGTCTGCAGGGACAAGCAAATGAATTTACCCAACACAACCTCCCCAGAGACTCAACATGTGGTAGCAAAATATCTCTGAAAAGATAAGGATGAGACTTGAGATTAAAAGTAGATAATGTTAAAAAAAATAGGTAACATTTGAAAATCTTATGAAGTGATTGAATCATACAAACTACCTCTTCCTCCTCTAGGAAACTGGGGATTTTTTTCTCCAAGAAAATGGAAGCTGAGGGTTCTGGATCCAGGAACATCAGATGCATGAAGAGGATAGGGGTTTGGAGCCAAGGAATTAAATGAAAATCTGCATACAGACTGGTGGGTCTTTGAAATAAAAATGAGCTTCCATTTAGCTTCTTAAGGTCATGAATAGGAATGGACAGCCAAGGAATAACAAAACAGTTGAGGAAAGCCTCTAAAATAAGAAGCCAAGAGTGCCTGGGTAGCACAGTCGGTCGAGCAGCCAACTCTTGGTTTTTGGTTCAGATTGTAAACTCAGGGTCGTGAGATCAAGCCCCACATTGGCCACTATGCTCAGCACAGACTATGCTACGACTCTTCCTCTGCCCCTCCCCGTGCATGTGTGCTCTCTCCCTCAAAATAAATAAGTAAATATTTTAAAATAAAATGAGAAGCCAAACAAATAAGACAAAAGGCAGAGAGAGCAAGGGTAGAAAACTGGGGTGGAAGGGGAATCTCTAAGAAATGAAATGTTGTGTCTTCAAAAGAACAGGATGTTATTTTGAAAAATCTTTCAACAAATAAAAAACCTTTATAAATAAAATATAATTGTACCCCCACCAATAGTGGAAGGATTGTAGGTAAAGTTGAAGCAATTTCCTAGGAATTAGAACAAAAAGATTAAATGAGGGAAATAGAAAATAATTTTTTTAAAGATTTTGAGAGAGAAAGAGCATGTGAGAGAGAGAACATATGTGCATGCATGCATGAGGGAGAAGGGCAGAGGGAGAAGCAGGCTCCCCGAAAAGCAGGGAGCCCAGGATCCTGGGATCATGACCTGAGCCAAAGGCAGATGCTTAACTGACTGAGCCACCCATGTGCCTCCAGAGAAAAATACATTTTTTAAAAAAATTTTATTTATTCATAGAGACACAGAGAGAGAGAGAGAGGCAGAGACACAGGAAGAGAGAGAAGCAGGCTCCATGCAGGGAGCCCGATGTGGGACTCCATCCCAGGTCTCCAGGATCACACCCCAGGCTGCAGGTGGCGCGAAATGCTGCACCACGGGGGCTGCCCGAAAAATACATTTTAAAATTAAAGATAGACCAGGAGGTCCAATAATTGACTAATAGAAATCCAAATATTAGAGGACAGAGAAAATAGTGAGAAATGATGCCAAAAAAATCTCCAAAGCATTTTTTTTAAAGATTTTATTTATTTATTCATGAGACACCTAGAGAAAGGCAGAGACACAGGCAGAGAGAGAAGCAGGTTCCCTGCAGAGAGCCCGATGGGGACTGGATCCCAGGACTCCAGGATCACGCCCTGGGCCTAAGGGAGGTGCTCAACCACTGAGCCACCCAGGCGTCCCTCCAAAGAAAGCATTTTCCAAGTCAATAGATTTGTAAATTGAAAAAGCTTTAGAATAGTAAAAAAAGACAAAGACCCAAGAAGCTTGATTATGAAATTTAGTAAACTGGAGATAGAGAGACTTTACTAAAAGCATCCAGAAAGAGTAGCTAGAGGTTACATTCAAAGGACCCATAGAATGGCATTTACATAGTAGTAGCATAGGGAGATAGAAACAGGATCAAGCTGTGTCTTCATATGTCTTCATCGGGAAAGATTTCCTACCTATAATTTTATTGCCAGCTAAATTATCAATCAAATGTGAATTTAGAATAAAGATATTTTTAGACCTGCAAGTGACTCCAAAATTGTAGTTCCCATGAACTCTTTTTTGTTCATAAGTTGCCCTTAAATAGAAAGGGAGAAGAAATCAGGTTCAAGAAGTAGGATTCAAAGAGAAGAGCTAAGGATGAGTCCAAGATGACAGCTGTGTAGCCAGTTCAGAGCATCCCCCAACAGAGTGAAGCAGAAGAAAGAACAGTTTGGGAAAGATACAGATGCAGGAAAAAGAATCTGATATATTTGAGCATATGGAAAATATTGATAGACATATAACAGATGTTGGAGCTTTTGAGGGAAAGCTAAAAATACATAGAAAACGAAAAAAAAAAGAGGTAGTCATTGATTTGTAGAGAAGAAGTGCATGATCTTAACTGTTCTACTTGACTGAGTACTGACTAGTATCTCTCCAATCCTTTCATAATTCCTCTTGATTTAAACAAAGACTGATAAAATTACATGGGATGTGGAGGATGGGGGGGTAGATGCTGAAGCTAAATACTTGTATTTCACAGAAGGGTGTCAGTAAATAATATCTAAATTTGACAAGTCAAGCATATTTAGAAAAAGAAAGGCAAATACCAGAACCTACTAGAAGATTCTGTAGGATGTAGGGATAAGGAGGACTCTGCTGTTTTTCCAAAGCCCTTTGTCTTCATTGTTTTTTTTTTTTCATTTTTTTCATTGTTCTTTCAATATAAAAATTCAGTGAAATTATATAGCATATTGTAGAGACCTCTTTCCAGATATTTATCAGTTAATTAATTCTAGCCAAATATCTAGCTGTATCATGCATTCTTTGTTTAGTTGTCTTGTTCATAATAGCACCATTGTCTTACTCATATCATGGCGTAGGAAGTCTAATAGATTTCTTTGGTCTATTAACTTGGTATCACTTTCCCTTAATGACTTTCTTACAAAGTTATTTCTTCACTTCTGCTTTAAAGAGTCTTTGTTCTAATTTAACATTGTTTCTCTTGGTTCCTTTTAAACTTTTTTTTTAATTAATTAATTTATTTATTTATGATAGTCACACAGAATGAGAGAGAGAGGCAGAGACATAGGCAGAGGGAGAAGCAGGCTCCGTGCACTGGGAGCCTGACGTGGGATTCGATCCTGGGTCTCCAGGATCGCGCCCTGGGCCAAAGGCAGGCGCTAAACCGCTGCGCCACCCAGGGATCCCGGTTCCTTTTAAATTTAAATATAGTTTCTGACATGCAGTCAGAATATCTAGGATACTGTGTACTTTATTTGTTTCTTATGTTACCTAAAACAAGGGAATGCTTTTTCTACAAATAAATACCATGGCTATGTTAAAATACTGCTTTGGAAATATTTCCATAACAGTAAGATGATTTAGAATGTGTGTTTGTGAGTGAATTGTAAAATTACTATCTGACATATGTCTTGGAAAATTCCACAGCTTCTGCCAGTTTTCAGTTTCTGGCACATTGACTAGAATTTGTAAATGAGGATATCAAACTCTACTTTCCCTTGATTTACCAACCCCTGGGCATTGGAATACAAGATTAGAGGTAAATATTTGCTAATCCTGAATCAAATCCCGTTATTGCCAGCTGTATCTGTTCTTAGTTTTTTATTTTTTTATTTGTTTTTATTTTTCTTTTTTAAGATATTTATTTATTTATTCATAAGAGACAGAAAGAGAGGCAGAGACACAGGCAGAGGGAGAAGCAGGCCCCATGCAGGGAGCCCGATGTGGGACTTGATCCGGGGTCTCCAGGATCAGGCCCTGGACTGAAGGCAGCACTAAACCGCTGAGCCACCGGGGCTGCCCTGCTCTTAGTTTCTTAGTGTTTACAGAGATGAGGTGGTGCTAGGGAAAGTGAAGGAGGAGGGGAGTGAGGGACAAGTAATTTTATTGCTACTTTGAGTTTTTAGTTCTTTCCTTTTACTTTATAACCTCAAAAAAAAAAAGTTTTCAGTAGGACATGGAAGATTTCCTGGATTGAGCAGCATCCAAAATGATTTCCAGTCCTACCCAGTGGGTCATCAAAATTCATGGAGTCCTCAGGGCTCAAAAATGTTGCTTGTGATAGTTAAAACTGAGTAAATGAAAGTAATAATCAACAGAAAACAGAATAAAGGTGCCTACTTCTTTTATACTGAGAGCAATGAATTGTTAGTGGATATAGATTTTGGTTAGTAATTAGGATAGAAATCAGGATAAAAGAAAGCTCAGAATGTTGAGTCAGATATTAAAAGGTATCCAAAGCAGAAAGTTTGACCTATTAAGTAATGTGTCTGTTTTCTAAGTGTATCCCTTCCTTAGTATTTTTAATCTAGGAATTTCTTTCTTATGATAAATTTACTCATGAGATGGTAATGCACTGACAGTAGTTTTCATTTAAAATGCAATTATATTCCAAATAGGGATGAGATGTTAGGCGGAAGGATTGCAAACTTATTTTATTTTAGATTTATTTAGCCATACAAAAATGTTTTTCCTCTTAGGTTCTGGAAAGAAAGCCAGTCGGAAAAACATCTGGTGGTAGTTGAACGAAGAAATGGCATAATCAGTAAAAATTACTTATAGGAAAAAAATAGTGAAGAGAAAATTTTATGTAGCTTTAACTCTGGATTTCTTTATGAAAATTCTTTTTTTTAAGGAGAGGAAGAGTTCTTTATTATTTTTTAAAATATGTTTATTTTTAAGTAATCTCTGCTCCCAACATGGAGCTTGAACTCGAGTCCAAGATCAGGAGTTGCATGCTCTACTGACTGAACCAGCTTCAAATTTCTCTTTTTTTCAAACCATTTATTTATTTATTTGAGAGAGAGAGTGAGTGGGAGGGACAGAGAGGATCTGAAGCAGACTCTGTGCTCAGCACAGAGCCTGATGTGGGTCTCCATCCATGACCATAAGATTATAACCTGAGCCAAAACCAAGAGTCAGATGCTCAACAGACAGAGCCACCCAGGCACCCCCTGAAATTTCATTCTTAATCTCTCCCTAAAATTTTCCTCTCACCAAAATATTTGGTCTGTGTTGGACTACCTTTGTATGTCTCAAGTTTTACCCTCATCTATGATCATGAGTTGTAAACATTAAAGAGCCTGTTTTTATAGCTTTTGCTGTTATCAACCACTCTAAAATTAAAACAATTATTCAGCTTGGCAGGACTTCTGCTGGTTGCTGGAAAAGTTATTTATGAGACTGCAGCTATATGGTGGCTTGACTGGGGCTTGAGTGTCTAAGAGCCTCACAGTCGGACGTCTGGGTATCACTGTCAGCTGGTTCTTATTTTTCCACATGGTATATCATCATTCGGAAACCTAGCCTGGACTTTTTCTTACATGGTGGCATGAGTGTTTCAAGAGGATAAAGCTTCAGTGTTTTGTAAGGCTTAACCTTGGGAATCAAACAGTGTTACTTCCATCACATTGTTTTGGTAAAATTAAGTCACCATGTCAACTCAGATGCAGAG